GGAATGCAGTGAGGGAACCTCTGAAGGTGACAGTTCTCAGTTGGATGATGATGCCTATGAAACACCTCAGGCTGATGATGATGACAGCGATGTCTATGATACTCCGCAGATGGGTGATGATGATTCCTCTGACACTTCTCAAGGTGATGAAGGGTTTGATACCTTGCAGTTGGGGGATAAGGATACACCAGAGTCAGAATTGTCTGGAAGATCTGTTCCATTAGGTTTTCTGGAGGAGAGAGGTGGTCTAATAACCCTGACAAAAAAGACCAGCTCTTTTCAAGAACTTAGAGCTAATGCCGGAGAGAATGTCCATGTAAGTGTGAAAGGGCAACCTGAGAGTGTAAATATAGCTTCAGCAAGTGCCAAAACTATGGAAAGAGCCCCTGAGGAGCAAAGGGAAAGACCAGGGAGCTTTGGAGAGAAGGAGCAAGTGTTACCAGTTACTGTGGAGAGTGAAGGAAGAGAGGAGGGAGGCCTAAGTCCCTTACAGAAGATGTATGAAGCAGAAGTACAAGACAGAAATGAGGAAGTTGAAATGAAACCAGAAAGTGACTCCTATGAAGATGAATCTGAAGGTACACAGGAGGGAGAAGATTATGAGGAGGATTATGATAGTTATGATGACTCTGACACTGATTCTGACAGTGAAGATGAAGCAGATAGTTTTTATTCACATCACCAATGTATAAACAAAGGTGACCAGCTTTTAATTTCCTTAGGAGATGTAGAAAGGAACAATGAAAATAATCAGAATATTGATGATTGCTGCTATTCTTTAGGCCATAAGACAGGATATACTTTGCAATTCCAGTCTAACCTTGAAAATGGAGAACTCTCCTCAGGAAAATCTGTTGTTTCTGAGGAAAGATGTGTTGGTCTTTCGTGTGCAAGTGAAGACAGACAGCAGGAAACAGAAGATGAATATGGGACTTGTATGAAAAGTAGACACATGTCACAAGATATTACTGAACCTATTCAGTCTGAAAATACCTGTGGCAGTAAATGGATGTTGTCTAAGACTGAAGAAAATAATGAAACACAGCTTAAGGTTCCAGGTTCTCAACTCCTTGATGATGATGAAAGTACTCAGACGAATTTGCTTCTCTCAAAATGCTTTATTGATAGCATGAATGAAGACAGTAGCACCATGCCAATGTTAGATTCAAATCATAAGCAGAGACAGAGAGAAGCAGAATTTGTAGAGGAAAAAGTATTAAATGATATGGCAAGTATAGAAAAACTAAAGGAAAGTTCATCTGAAATGGACAATATGGATATGCCTTATGTTAATAATGATGGTAGTTCTCTTACTGACTCAGCACATCCAGTCACCAGTGGGAAGCATGGTCAGACAGAAAGAAGTCTTGAAATTCTTACAGAAAGTAAAAGTAGAGTAAATGCTATGGAGAAATGTGATGTCATGGGGGTAAGTAAAAGCCCCATACAGACAGAAAGCCTTGGGCAAATATTTGATGAATCAGTAATTAAAATGAATAGAGCAACTCCTGTTGCATGTAAGGAGAAAGGAAATGTTGATCAAGCTTTCCTTGATGCTCAAGGTGTGAGATCAAGTGAAGTTAAGAGAGATGTTAACATTTCTCCTTCTCTAAAACAATATACAACAGACGTAAAAGAAGGTGGCTATTCAGAACTGGGTAAACCCAAATCCTGTTGCTTTGAGGACACAGAAAAAGAGAAGGATATACAGAACGAAAATGATTTTCTGCTGAACACAGAAGAAATGCATTCAAGTGGGTTTGGCACTTACTCTTTTCCCCCAACTGATACAGTGAAACCACCAAATGAAATGAGCATAACTAAAGAAACAGGGAGAGTTACCTGTCAAAATGCTGATAATGTTCTTAAAGACATTTCAGAAAACAAAAGCAGCAGTGATAGTGAAATTTCCCCCATAAAACCAGATGCTTTAGGAAGTATTGAGGACACCAAAGAATCAAGGGCTGTTAGTGAAGTGCTACCTTCTGGGAGACAAATCCATAGCACAGATATTTGTCCTGCAATTCTGAGTAGAACAGGAGCTGACTTGAATTATGGTGCCCAGAAAGAACCTGAGAGACTGGAAAACACAAAGGGAGAGAATTTCATGGCCAGTGAGACATCCTCTCCAGGGAATGGTTTCAAAACACAAATGTCCATGGAGTCATTGCAAGAGGAAACTGGACCCTGCAAAGATTTTCAAGTAAAGGAAGGTCTTGCACAATCATCAGAAGTGTCTGACACACTAGTGGAAGACTTACAGAACATATTACGAAGGAAATTGAAAATGGGACAGATTTGCTGCAAGCAGGAAGGTGAACCCTTAAGTTACTCTGATACCAAAACTTTAATGCAAAATTTACTTACCATGGTTAGAAGCACCCAGCTTGCAAGTGAAATATCCAGTGGGTCAAATCTCAAGCAAATAAGCAATGCTCTTAGAACTGCATTAATGGTTACCACACCGTGTGCAGACCCCAGGGACAGCAATGCCTCTTCCTTGCTTTGGCCTGATTCCAGAAGTCCTGATCTTCTTCATGATATTCTGAAGCAGGAATCCTGCAAGCATAAAACAGCTGGTCCAGATGAAAGGAAGAGTGAACCAGATGTGGAAGCTCTCATTTCCAAACTTACTACCTCTGAACTTCTGGAGATTCTTCAGATCTCACCTGGAGATGAAAGTAAAAGCAAGTTAGAGGAGCTGATAAGTACTTTGCTTATGAGCTCACAGGTTGCTGGTACCACCACAGAACATGAGGGTAAAGGCAAAGTAGATGGGTTTTGTACTTTTTTCTCAACAGAACAATCAGAGTTCGGAGCAGAAATTGCTAAAGAGAAAACATTGGCAGATAATGCAACTGTTGCTTGGAAAAGTGACCAGGAGCATGGGAAGACAGACAGACTGTCCAAAGGTTTTACTGACCCTGTTTTCAAACCAAGAGAAGCAGTGCTAGAAGACACCACCCCTAGCATGGTAAGTAACTACAGCTGATTTGTCTTCTCTGTCCTGTGTTAAAGGAATCACCTGAATCCTTCCAAGTGCTGGAGAGAATAATTAAACTGGGAAAAATGGTTGAAAAATAAAACTTAAGTTATAATAAACACAAGGACTTTTAATGCCTCTTTTCAAGTCAATCAGTTTGGAAAACCTTTTCTTGTCATTAAAACTCATTTGCAGGTTGATGGAGTACAGCAATGCTTAAAGTTAGCAGAGAAAATGCAAGGACATTTGTCAGTGCTTCAAGATATGAAAAGCCAACTAGACAACCAGCAGCCTATTAGTAACAACCTGGAAATACTAAAAGATGAACTGAAGCAGCTAGAGGTAAGTGAAGTGTTCTTTCTGCTTGTACTTCAGTGATAGGTGCTAGGAATAGCCTTTTGATTAAAAATAGAGATTTAAAATGGAGTTAAAGTATTTCGGATTGAAATGTCTTAGTAGCTTAATGCATTTTCCATATGTTCTCTTTGTAGTCATTTGAATCAAGACTGGCTACCTTTGCAGTTCTCCTTAAAGAGGACATGAAGCTGACAGAAGAATTCTTAAAGTTTTGTGACAGGGATATTCCAGAAGAGAAACTGAGGGAGCTGAAGATGAGCTATGACTCTTTGCAGGAAGCATTTTCAGCCATCTGTGATGTATCTTCGAAACAAGCAAAACACATAGTCTGTGCTATTGACTCAGAAATGGTATGTTTTCATCAGTGTTTGTTTTTGCTTTAGTTTTCTTCAAGGGAACTGGGCTAAAATGAAGGAATTTGGTTTGGCTTTATTTCGTTTCATCTTAGTATAAAAATACATGTGTGATTCAATTTAATATGGTAAAAATTTGACTGGTCTCCAGGAGTCTAAATAAATCTAGATTTTCCCTTTCTAGTCTAAGCTTGCAGCATTACACCAGGAACTTCTAACCAAACTGCAGAGGTTTTCAGACTGGATCACAGAGAACAGCAAAATGTTTCATGACTTCACAGTGGATACTAACGATACAGAAGAGATGAAGAAACGTTTGCAGCTATTGAAAGTAAGTGTTCTTTATGGCAGGTGTTGGTGCTTCTCACGAATGTTGCTCCTTATTATTGCTCTGCAGAGGGACCTGGATAGGC